AACGTCTGTATCAACACATTGTTTCTACTATTCATTTTTAACTAGTAAAATTAACTTGATAAAGTTATGTGAATTCCTATGCCTGAAATCTAGAGCTTTGTGGAAGATTTCTAAAATATTAAAAATCTAGAGCTTTATAGAAAAAAAGCACATGCATCTTGAATAGTCAGTATAGCCTCTGGAAATAAATAGATCATAACCCTTCAATGATAAAGAGAATAAGCAAATCTTTTTAATGGTGCCTGGTCATGCATTTTCTGCAATCTGGGATATACAGTGCTTTAGAAATTGTCAGGTCAAATGCATAGGCATACAGAATTCTTCTGAAGGGAGATTTTCCATGGCTTATAGTGAGCATATATAATCTGGTTAGACTTTGAAAATGTTAATCTACTACCGAGTTAAATTTTTGTCATACAAATATTCCATGGATTTATCACTGTGAGTTTATTTCACCTTCTACAAACTCTTCTTATATGATAAAAATCATCTTAGGAAATTGCTGCCTTTGTTTTTATTTTTTTTATATTTTTTTTAATTTTTGAAATAGTGTTTTATATTTATTTAAAATTATTATTACTTCAAAAATATGTTTCTTTTTCACTTTTAGAAGTTGAGCACATTTAGGTATTTTAATATACTAGGGAAAACCACAGAATCACAGAATATGCTGAGTTGGAAGGGATCCACAAGAATCATTGAGTCCAACTCCTGGCTCTATGCAGGACACTCCAGGAATCACACCATGTGCCTGAGAGCATTGTCCAAATGCTTCTTGAACTCTGTCAGGCTTGGTGCTGTGATCACTTCCCTGAGGAGCCTGTTCTAGTGCCCAACCACTCTCTGGGTGGAAAACCTTTTCCTTATACCTAAACCTCCCCCGGCTCAGTTTCATGCCATTCCTCAAGTCCTGTCACTGGTCATGAGAATGAAGAGATCAGTGCCTGCCCCTGAACTTCCCCTCATGAGGAAGTTGTTATTGCAATGAGGTCTCCCCTCAGTCTCCCCTTCTCCAGGCTGAACAGACCAAGTGACCTCAGCTGCTCCTCATACAACTTCCCATTCAAGACCCTTCACTGTCCTTTTGGCCCCTCCTTTGGACACTCTAACAGCTTAATGTCTTTTTCTATTGTGGTGCCCAAAACTGCACACGATATTCCAGGTGAGGCTGCACCAGTACAGAGCTGAGTGGGACAATCACCTCCCTCGACTAGCTGGCGATGCTTTGCCTGATGCCTCTCAGGACATGATTCTCTATTTTTGCTGTTTTAAATACACATTACACCTGTGGGGGGAAAAACAAACAAAAAAAAACCCCAACTTTTTTCTCATTTGTGGACTAACATATCAGTAATGTAAGGAATTTATTATAATTATATCAAAATATGGAAGTAGACCCTGCAAAATGAGGAGAATTCTGAAAATTTTCTAAATTACTGCCAATTCCTAAGAGAGCTTCATTATTTCCAGAAACTAGTAAGTAGTCTGTAGCTTTTTAGTCTCAAGTCATTTTTATCATCTTAACAATACATGGTGGTGTTGGGGAAAAAATTTGAAATTAGTTCCTCTGATCAACCTAACTCTAAGGCTTCCTTATAAATCACAAACTCTGCTATGACACTGCAAGAATGTATAAAGGATTTAGATAGTATACTTCCCTCTTATGTTTGAAAGTAACCTTGAAATATATCTAGAATTATCACTTCCAGAAATAACTAACACTTTTGTTGTCAATAGAGCTTGATTGACAAGGTATTGACAATCTCTATAAAATAAATGTGAGAGAGCTTTCTTCTAAGTAAGAGAGCAAGGATGGCTGTTCACATATCTATCCATTTCTTTATCTAAAAATTACATCATGATTGACAACTGGTTTCTTCAATAAGTTCATGAATTGACTTCAGTGCTAAAAGCTCATTCCCGCTTAGTTCATGGAATATAATACCAATTCTTCAGGTCCACATGGATATACCTGTGCAGATAAATTCATTCTTCGTGAATGTACATGAAACAAGGAATACATTTCCATTCGTGCTGTCCTCATATTACCTCTGTAAATTTTTGAGCTAAATTGATGTTTGCTAATGAGAAAGAGAGGAGAAATAATTAGTATGGCAGTATCTCTAACTGTCAGTAGAATTCCACTTATATTTATAAAGCTCTAGAAATGCTAACTGTACTGTCTCTTCCAGACAAACTGACTCCCTGTGTTTCAAGTGAGTTTTTTTCACATTCCTAACTTCTCATAACAATTGGTTACATTACTTTGGATGGTTACCTTTTTTTTTCATAATTTATCAGTTTTCCACTCATGAACATAAACTATTCTGGTGGACCACTGAAAAAATTTCTCTGTAGGAGGAATTTACCTGATTCTCTTTCTGCATAGAAGAATGGCAGTATGACATGCTGTGCATAATGAATGGGGACACAAAGTAAACGAATCCTGTAAGGCATATTTGATTTTTAAATAGTTCTACAATTGTTCATTTCTTACGTAAAGTAAGGACAAAAAAATATAAGATAACAGTAAAGCTTTCAACTGAAAACTAGAAAAAGAAAGTAAAGTAATTAAAATTTCCATTTTCTTCGACTAACCTTATGACTTTGATAATGACTAGAAAGTAAGTGAAATGGGATCGATAATTCATCTGCTCTTTGTTGTAATCATTACCTTGTAGTTTTCTCTTTTAATCTTTTATCCCTCATTAGTCTTTATTCTGCATGTGAAAATCTTACTGGATTATGTGCTTCATACACTCCCAGATACGCTTCACAGTATTGCTGATTTCAAGTGAAATGCGTTCCAGCTTACAGTTTTCATCCTGTGAGATAAAGAGGTTTGAGAGAGAGAGGTTAGAGAAAAAGGTCACAGTAAACTACTTATGACATCTTGCAGGCTTTACAGTGCAATACATTATCAAGTGAAATCATGTAGGCTCATGGCTTGTTTTACTTCTGGAAGAAGAAAGATTCAGGGCAGTTACTGTTTTGGCCTCTTTCACAGATGATATCCACTCATTCTTAGATATCTGAAAAGGTGACTTTACCAACTCTAGTTGGTAATGCTGTAAGTTCTCCACCTTTTCTTTTCTCTGTTCCTGAGTAAAAAGAAATATTTTTTTAAAAGGCAGAGGGTAGCTGTATTTTCCTTCACTTTGTTTATCCACATCTGTCATTTCAATAGAGAATAAATATCTGTAAGTTCCTGCTTTTACCTTGACTGTTCTGAACTGTGTGACAGATGCATAAGAGAGAAGGATGTTCTGCGGAGGCTGAGGATACAGTAGAGTTTCTTCAGAAGAATTCAGGACTTCATAGTCTTGATCTACTGTTCTGCATATTGCAAGTTATCTTTCTATGAAATAAGTACTACTTACAAATTTTAATATATAAAATGTGTAAGAGTTGGGAAGTGCTCATTAAAGAGGCTCATGTTTCAGCCTAAATGATTCTATGATTCTGTGTTACATATTTTGTTTTGGGCATAAAGTATAAGTTAATTAAATTTCTTTTAATGTATGTGTGTTTATTTGCACACACGTATAAATACATACTACACTGCAAAATGTGCCTTGACAACCACTGTGCTATTTTAAACAATTAAGAGTCTAAAATTTCAGATACTGAATCAAATATTCTGTCATCATATTGTTACTCCTCCGTGGCAACCAACATGGAGTAGGAAGTATTGTATTTCAAAGCAAAGTCAACATTTTTTTGGAAGAATTGCTTTTAACTTAACAACATAATGCAGTGATCCTATGTGAAAGCATTCCTGTGGATAGTTATATGCATGCATGTGACTAAATCTGTAGGGTAGGTTGTTGATAGGCATAATTAAAGAATTGTAATCCCTCATAAATTATTTACAAGGCTTTCACACAAGCAGCAGCTTGACAGTAGGGTTACCTGTGTGTTATCCAGCTACACAGCAGAAAGGGAACAGATATGTGCTAGTTTAAAATGTTTGTCTAATATCTGGCTGTGTAGCAGCTCTCTGAACACGACTGCAATGATCTAATTCTCTGCACAGAGAGGCATGGTGCAAATCTTCTGTCATTGTAAGCCCAAATTAAATCATCCCCTGAAGAGTTTTGAAGTTATGGAGCCAGAACAGGAAATGGCTGTTCTCTGAAACAGAACTGTTGACTTGATGCTTCTTGGATCTTATGTTATAAACTGATTCAAATGTTCCTTCTCCACTGTTAAATGTCAAATTTTCCTTAGTTGCTATTGTGCCTCCTTGGTGCCAGTCTAGGGATGTGCCCGGAGTTCCCTTGCTCTGCTGTATGTTTGGAGTGTCTATCAGCTGTACCACACAAAAGCTAAAGGCATGAACAAGAGCCAAAGGAGCAACTGTGGGAGGGTACATGAAAGCTAAAAATATTCACAGCTGGATAGGTTATTTGCGCATTCCTATATCCAACATGCAAGCTGCACTTTGGCAAAACCCAAACTTGTGCTTATCTAAGATTCAATGCTTAAAATAGGTACTTTTCCTCTGTGTCTGTAAGGAAGATTAGGTCTCTCATCCATACCGGAGCGCTTCAGCTAAATTTAACTCTGGCTGTTAGAAAGAGTTACTCGTCGTAAAAATAAGACTTACAGTAACGGCTGTGGAAACTACTGCTGTTTCTTTGGTTGAGGATTTATGAGACAACTTTGCAGAGAGAAAATATATACTTTTTTTTTTAATACATACATACAAGGGTGGATGACATGAAAGAAGGAGGTACACATCTGAATAGTGTCTGGGAGTAAGTTGTGTAATGGCACAGATCAAAGTGCTAATATAGGAGGCCAATGCCCCCTTTGCCCCATTAACTACCTATGTGGCTAGAAAAACAACAGATAAACATTTAGAAAGCTTTATGTCTTCCTTTGTTTACAAAGAAGTTTAATTCTGGTATGTGAAAGCTGTGTGGCAGTGCTTACATTTTCTAATGCATTTGGGTACTACATTTATTTCAAGGTATCTGTCTATATTTCTCTTTCAGGTTCAAGTCCTTCGCAACGCAGGGGAAGAAGTGACCCTAACTGTGTCCTTTCTGAAAAGAGCACCTGCTTTTCTCAAACTGCCGCTGAATGAAGATTGTGCATGTAAGCCTTTTTTCCTTGGCCGAAAAGAACTCAGTTCAATGCTCATGAACGCTTGCAGATTCTGAAACTACTGTGCATTGACACCAGCTTTTACAATCAGCATTACTGTCTGAATATAAGATGCTTCTATTGCCAGGGCTTTTGTTAGCATTCGCCTCAAGCAAAAAATTGCTATCTTTGGTTGAAAAACAGGTACCCAGGCATTTACATGGTGTGAATCAGCAAAGTTGAAGGTAAAAAGAGAATTACATTGGTTTGTAGTAATTCACATCCTGATGCAGAGTATTTAAAATCAGGTTTTCAGGCAGCATCAGATAGTATTTTAGTCTCAAAGACTTTTTTCTTGCAAATGTGAACATGTGATTGTATATCTATATTCAGAGGGTTTAACTTTGTCGTTTAAAATTCAGAGGCTTTGGTGGAGATGTCTGTCTACCTAAGAATAAATTACTCTGGGATGATAAGTATTTTGTTTAAGTCCAACTGAGTTTTAGTCAACTAGCCCCACGAGAGACATATGGAGACAGCTGTCTTCCTGTAATTATATTAAATTGTAAGTGTAGATGCATAATTATAGACAATTGCAGCATATTAAGCATGTTTATATGTCAGCCTGTGTCTTTTGTCACCATTGCTTTCCTTCTGCTTCTTTCTCCCAAGAGGGTAAAAAGAATTGCTTAATTTTTAAGCAACAAACCAGTAAATTTTTTATTTCAATACCTTTAGCCTTTGATTTTAAGTTAGTAGGAAGTAACTAAAATAAATTATGAAATAGTGTTTTGTACAAACATATATTGAAATATTATCTTTTTCTTTTGCCTATGTATTAAATTTTAGTGATACAAGAAACATATCAAAGCTGTATTCTTGACTAAAAATGTATCCAATTTTATGAAAGGGTACCCCACAATGTCTTGAGTGATGCACGGGAATGTGAGGTTGCATGGATCCTATCACTTTTGAGGTGTAGCTCTGCAATTTCCTAAAGTTACAAGAACATTTAGAACTGCAAACTCCACGGAGAGTAACAAAGTTACTCGAGTTTCTTCAAGTAAAAACAGAGAGAAAATACACACTTCCCTTTTATTGTCAAATTTGCAAAAACCTTTGCTTTTTTTTTTTTTTTTTTTTCCTTACTGAACAGACTATTCCCTTTTTTTAAGCAAAGCACATCAGGAGGCTTTCTTGAGCCTCCATTCAGCTTTCGAAGGAATTTAACTCAAGCCAGAAGGCAGATAGTGACCGATGGAGAAAGTAAATGAATGTTATATATGATAAAAGTTATTTGGGGGGGTGGGGGGAGGATGGGATGGGGAGATTGCATACATGCACACACAAATTTGAATTACAGCATCATTGATTAATGCAGATTTTTTTTGTGAATTCGTATTTGTATTAGGTGCCCCCAGTGATCAAAGCAGTGGCACGTCCTCTCCCCTTTGTGACAGTGGTTTGCATCTCAACTACCACCCCAACAACACGGTAAGAGCTTATATCTCCTTGATGGAAATACATGGAAGAATAATTATACTATAACAGCTAAGTGGAAGTACTAATAAAGGACAGTAACATGGGAGGAGCTCTAATTAACATTGGAGATAGACAGTTCCATAGAGGGGAAAAAGAACTGCCAGATATTATGGCTGAGAATTAAACTAAGACAAATTATTACAGGCTGAGATTGTGCCTTGACAGATGTGATTAGTATTTTTACTTGGGCAGTAGAGATTTTGCAAAAGTTTTTTCTTTTAGATGATTTTCTCCGCATATGAATTAAAATTCTTAAAATGACAATATATCTATTTATAAAAAAGGAAGAAAACTTTTTCAGAATATTTTTCCATTACTTATATTGCATACATTATCTAAAGCTTTTGGCAAAAGATGACTTAAGTACATGTTTTTACCTATTTTTAAGGTAAGAGTGTTTTACTTCTAGTAATATATGCTTAAAATCTTACTGAAGAGTGATAGCATTATGGAGGAAAATCTGTCTAGGCCAAAATGCTGCAGATCTCCAATCAGATTTTTACTAAAAGATGCCTATGAAGTACAAGGGACTTTTAACAATTTTCTTAGCCAAGAAATTAAAAATTTTCATTATTCTATATAGTTCTTAAGTATATGATCTAGAGTACCTACAGTTTCTATTTGAACTGATAATAATTTACTGAAACCGAGTCTTTTTCTTTCAGTTTAAATAATATAATCAAAATCAATGATCAAAAATCTATGATCTATAATTCACCCCAAATTTTTGTACTGAAGACCAGGATGTGGTTCTTATCTCAGATGTCAGGTGCAGTTTCACTGATATGCTGTCACTTGTTACCTAGGAGAAGAAACTGACCTCACCTTGCTACTACCTTCTTTAATGTAGTTGTAGAGAGCAATAAGGTCCTCCCCTGAGCCTCCTTCTCTCCAGGTTAAACAACCACAGCTCCTTCAGCCAGTCTTCATCAGACTTGTGCTTCAGACCCTCACCAGCTCTGTTGCCCTTCTCTGAACATGCTCCGACACCTCAATGTGTTTTTGTAGTGAGAGACCAAAAACTGAACACAGTATTTAAGGTGTGGCCTCACCATTGCTGAGTACGGGGGAATGATCACTGCCACAGTCCTGCCGGACACACTATTCCTGATCCAAGCCAGGATGGCATTGACTTTATTAGCCCCCCGGGGTACACTGCTGGCTCATGTTCAGATGGCTGTTGACCAACACCTCCAGGTTATGCTGGGCACTTTTCCAGCCACTCTTCCCCCAGCCTGCAGCACTGCCTGGGGTGGTTGTGACCCAAGAGCAGGACCTGGCACTTCACCTTGTTGAACCTCTTACCACTGACCTTGGTCCAGCTCCCTTTGCAGAGCATTCGTGCTGTCCAGAAGATCAACACTCCTGCCCAATTGTCTGCAAACTGAGAGTGCACTCAATCCCCTCTTCCAGATCACTGATAAAAATATTAAGCAGAACTAGCCCAAATACTGAGTGCTGGGGAACACCACACATGACTGGCCACCAACTGGATTTATCATCACCACTGTCTGGGCCCAACCATTCACCCAGTTTTTTACCCAGCGAACTCTGCGTCCATCCAAGTTATGATCAACCAGTTTCTTCAGCAGAATGCTGTGGGAGACAGTGCCAAAAGCTTTACTAAAGTCCAGTTTGACAGCATTCAAAACCTTTCCTTCATCCACTAGGAAGGTCACTTGTTCATAAAAGGAGATCAAGTCGATCAACCTGCCTTTTATAAACCCATGATGTCTGGGCCTGATCCCCTGATTGTCTTTCATCTGTCGTGTGATGGCCCATGAGATGATCTGCTCCATGACCTTTCCTGGAACCAAGGTCAGACTGACAGGCCTGTAGTTCCCCAGATTCACCTCCTGGCCCCTCTTGTAGGTGGGCATCACATTTGCCAACCCTAGTCAACTGGGACCTCTCTGGTTAGCCAGGACTGCTGGTAAATGATGCACCAGCTCCCTTGCTACCCCTGGGTGGATCCCACCTGGCCACATATACTTGTGTGTGTCCACACTGTGCTGCAGCAGGTCACTGACCACTTCCCCTGGATTATGGTGGCTTTGCTCTGATCCACCATCCCTGTCTCCCAGCTCAGGGATTTGGTACCAGGCCAATGATTGGTCTTACTATTAAAGACTGTGGTAAAGAAGGCATTAAATACCTCAACCTTTTCTTCATCCTTTGTCACTATGAGAAGACATCAGCGCTATCTTATGAAGCATTGTATAAAGAAAGAGGTTTGGTATTTTTAAAAAGAGGTGTTGATAATTTCACTTTTTATAGGCATTTCTCATGCAAATCCCTGTTCTGTAAAAATATTTGTGAAATTAGACTGTAGGTATTTAAATACTAATTCTTTGTAGATATATTCATAGACGTGAGAAAGTTCAGTTGTTTTTGTGTAAGCAATGTCTTGTGTAAGTAGATAAAATTAAAATATTAATGGCAAGCATGTACTTTTGACAATTTTGACAATTTTCGTCACATGTTAAATCCCATTCACAATTACCAGGTTTTGGGGTGATGTCATATGTGTACAGGACCATGGGGAACAGCTGAATTATGGTTGTATAGTGGATAATTTAGAGTTCCCCTTTACTTAGGGTGCAGATATAAAATTACTATCTAATGATGTGTTACTTGGTAAATAACTAGTCATCTCAAAAAAAAGGATACAGTCTGTTTTACTCAGGTTTTTAGAATACTTTTCCTCACACTTCCTCTAAGCATGTTGATATTGAGGTTCACATGGATTTCTTTTCATTTGTGAGAGAAAGTTCAGAATCTCTCCAGAGCTCACTAAAACTGTCACCAAGTGATTTGGAAAAAGTGGAACAATGCCAAATGAAATATAATGTCTTTGAAGTCTATCTCTTTTTTCCAAATCTGCTGAGTACTTATAATGAAGTCCAAAACTGAGAAGGACTTTTTAATGTTTTTCAGGATACATTATCATGTTCCTCATGGCCAGCATCCCCAGGACTTAGGTGGGAAAAAAGGTGGTGTGATCTCCGATTAATTCCACTTCTTCATTCACGATTTTCCCAGTACCTTCCGGGATCAGATTTGTGCAGGTAAATAAGTTCAGAAAGTTGGAACTTCTTGGTTGACAGATACATGCCTCAGAGAGTTGTCTTGTTAGGGAAATTGCCATTATTAGTTCCACTGCAACCTCTAGAGACAGGAAACCTAAGAACTTTCAAAAAGGTCTGTCAGGGTCCACCTTGGCTCATCTTCTGCTCTGACGTCAGCCGGGACCCGGTCTGTGAGGAGATGTGCGATCTTCCTACTTGCACCTAATGGTCAGCACCTTTCAGAGTTTGAGATTGCACATAGGTAATCATATTTAATAACTGCTAATGTGCCTGTCCTCAAAAGCTTCTTTCTAATCTGCTTTTCTTTATGTCTTTGATTTTTGCAGTGCATTATGGCATTGAGCTCTACAGTGTAATTGTGTTTCTAAAATATACTTCCTTCTGTTTGTGTTACATATCTCCTCTGATGACTACATTGGGTGAAATAATCTTGTTTGGGAGCAGGAAGGGCTGGCTGCCCCATGGGGAAGATGAACCAAGAGAGAGTGTGTCAGTGAGGCTGGATGAGGCATTGGCCATGCAGACAAGGACCCCAACTCACTGCCCCCACTGGAGGATCAGAGAAGGCTTAGGGATGGTCTTCAGAGGAGTCCGTCATGGTCATGTGGGGCTCAGATCAGGCTGGGAAGTCAGCCTACAGATCAGGTCCAAATCAGTGGGATACAGATCCAGGCACAGGAATAGCTGCAGCCATACTTTGGTGAGTACCACAAGCAAGAGCCTGAGAAGATAGGCAGCTCCCAAGTGTAGGAGTGGACAGGCCTCCCACTCAAGCTATTCCATAGCAACTTGATCCTGCATCCCACAATCTCACCATGGCACAGCTGGCCTCAAGCACAGGACACCAGTCTGCCATGAGGGGCAAGAGGGTGGACTTCAGGCCCTGACCCTTGTGTTAAGGGAAATGCGAAATATCTTGATTTATGTTTTTATAACTTCAACTGTCTGTCTTCTGTTCTCGAACCTGGAAGATCACAGCTGTTATCTTCTTTTGGGGAAACTCTTCTGTATCTATAACTATCTTTATTATTCTCTGCTTCTTTATCAATCTAATTTATCACCTAAATGGCAAAGTGATCAGGACTGCAAGGGGGATACCCCTCGATTTATATTAAGGCATAATGATGTTTTATATTTTTTTGTCAGTTCTTATCTAACACTTTGTAATAACCTATTACTTTGTGACTGTCACTGAGCACTAAGGTGATTGTATTTAGATAAATGATTGTAGTAGCTCTTTTACTTCTCTCCTTCATTTTTATAGCTACAGTAGGGTTTTTTTTTGCTCCTGTATAGCTAAGGTTATTTTTTCCTGTATAAGTTACTTTGCATGTGTTAATGTTTAATTTCATTGCCGTTTTCTCTCACAATCACTGGGAAAGCTGTCCAAAGCTCATAGTTAGGTTTAAATTTATGTCATCATTGTGGTGGGTTGACCGTGGCTGGATACCAAGTTTCAGCCAAGCTTCTCTGTCACTGCCCTCCTCAGCAGGATGAGGGGAGGAGAAAAAAAGATGGAAAAAAACCCTCATGAATCAAGATAAAGGCCTTTTAATAAAGCAAAGGCCACATGTGGAAGCAAATAAAGCAAAATATTTATTCTCTGCCCCCCATTAGCAGGTGATGTTCAGCCCATTCCTGGGAAGTAGGGCTTTGGTACACATAGTGGTTGCTCTGGCAGACAAGTGTCATAATTAATGAATGCCCTTACTCCCCCTCCTTTCTCCTAGCTTTCATTGCTGAGCAGATGTCATATGTTATGGAATATCCCTTTGGTCAGGTTGGGTCAGCTGCCCTGGCTATTTCCCCTCCCGTGATCTTGTCTCCCCAACCTGCTGATGAGGAGGGAACATTGGAGAGACAGTGCTGATACTATGAGAACACTGCTCAACAGTAGCCAAAACACTGGTGTGTAATCAATACATTTCCAGCTGTCAATACAAAGCACAGCACTATGAAGACTGCTGTGAGGAAGATTAAATTCATCTCCGCTAGATGCAGTACAGTCATATAGACCTACAATTTTTCATTGCTTAATTTAGTATTATCCTAGTAAATCAGGAGAAATTAGGAAGGAAGACAACAATATTCTGGAATGATTACTGTTTTATGAGTATAATGCAATGAAATAGAAATGAAAGTAGCTACAAAATCCAATGAGGCAAGTATATAAATAAGATCATATTTGTTAAAAGTTTTAAATACCTAGATATTTTATGGATTCATTTGTCATCTGTATTTATAAGAATGAAGTTCTCATACTGAAATATTCTGTGAGCTCCAGTGTATAAAGTCATTAACTGGAGGACAACTGTGTACATGTACAGAGCATATTTCTCTGTAACTTCTTTTTCCTATCAATCAGAAATAATAAAATTAGCACAAAGGATTTATCATTTGTGGCTGCGAGGTCTTGCTAATTGAAATAAACTGTCTTTCCCATAGTCTTCATATCTACCATCTTAGATAAATGAGTCTTGGAAGAATAGTGTACTACACTGTATCCTGATGGCACATCAGGCATTAGCAGTTTCAGTTTTCCCGTTCCTCCATTCAAACGCGTAAAGTTACAAAATTAATGCAGAAAAGTTACGTTAATTTTTCTGCAAAGGCTGTTTTGTGAAGAACCTTCCAAGTATCTTTTCTCTATTATGCTCACACTTCCAGTGTTCCTATGGGTCCTATAGTCAACTGTCACCATCTACCCACAGGACTGGATTTATGAGCCTCCCTAGAAACTGGGGGAAGAGAAGCCTTCTTCAACGTCTGTTTGGGGTTTGTGTGGGGTTAATTTTATTATTTCTTATCACAGCCTGCTTTCTTCTCATGGATACTCAGTAAACACTTGAAAGTTGCACGAAAGCCTCTCACCACCTCAGTTCTAAGGGTTTTGTTTCTTAGAATTGCACTGTTTAGGTCTGCCGGCTGTTTTTCCTATTCATGGAGCTGAAACTAAAGCAGGTTAGGCCGTATATGTTTCACCAGTAGAGCATTATGAAGCTAAAAACAGCCTGCAGCTTTTGACTGGTAATAGAAGAACCATATTTACTTATCTGCATGATCCTTGTTCTATTGAGGAACAATGGTTGGCCCAGGGAGTCAAGGTGTAAACCAAAAGTTACAATGGCTTATTGGCTGAACTGAAATGGAACAGAATATAGTCACCACAGAGGAAGCAGGGTTTTTATTAAATTCTGTGAAAGCCTTCAGCTCAGTGTTTAACAATGAAGCATAAAGTGCCCAAAATCATAACAGTCAAATCTGAGATCTATTCTACTGTATACTTCAGATAAGATATTGAATTGAATAGAACTACTCACGTGGAAAATTAGCACATGTTCAGCTGTTCATAGATCAAGGGCTTTAAAATTCAGTGTTCTACATCAATAAAACACAAACCTAAAGTGCACATAATAGAACTTGTACATTGCAGAGAAAGTTTCTTAGGTAGTAATGATATTCCTGAAATTTGAATTTCTAGAAAATAAATTTAAAAGTGCATTAATACAAAAGATTATACCTGAATTCATGCTCAAACCTTGAATACCTACCCTGATAATATTCTCTTTCTGTCCTTCTATGCTGTCTAACATGAGGAAGTAACAGTACTTAAACAAAAATGCAAGATAAATGTGAGAGAGGAAGTACATTTTTTCTTAAAGCGTAGAACCAACATTGTATTTTGCTAGCAAGAGAGTTTATAAGACTGCTTTGAACTACTGTAAACATTTTTAAATATAACTACCTCTCAGAATTTGTTATAAGAGAAAGGTAATACTTTTTAAAAGATGCTACTATAAACAGTGACATTAAAGAAAGGATATTGACAATAATTTAAGGAAGCAACATGAACTGGAAGCTAATTCATTGCATTTTTCATAGTTAGTATTTACAAAACTGTTTTCACTATGTAAAGCCTAATAACGTTTTATATTTCAGAGTTCAAAAAGGCTGGCATGGAAATGTATCATTATCACATATAATATTTACTCTCATAATCACATTCTAGCTTTTCCAGTGGGATACTTGAGACACATGAATTCTGGAGAGTATTCATATAGAATTCTAGAAGGCATTCAGGTTGAAAATTGGGAAGCTTATTAATTTCAAATATACCTTTTGAGTTCCAGAAGGCACAGAACCTGAAATGTGTTAAAATTTGGGAAAGTTGGATAAATCTTCATCTGATCTCCATTTTTGTGCGTGTGTGTGTGTGTGTGTGTGTGTGTGTGTATGTGTGTGTTATAAGGTGAATAATATACTATTTGTTCTATCTAGTACAAAACATATATTTAATACAATATATTTTCAGGTTTGCATGCATGGTATTATGGACTTGGGCTGGTAGAGTCATTCAAGAATATACTATTGCAACAATCTAAGGCTAAGGATATCTACTCCCAAGACCCATTCAGAAATAATTGATTAGGTAACCATGTATCTTACTCTCTGTGCTTATTGATACTTGGGTAAGAACATTATGGATGAGTGGTTTTGCATCTGCAGAGATCAAATTCCTGGCAACAGTAGGAACAGTCCGATGCCTTGAATACATCAGATTTGTGCATCAGGACTGAATGTTTGTGCATCAGGACTGAATTTGGAACATACTGGGTTCTCTCTGCTTGTGTTAGTATCATATAGTAATAGATTCCTTGGATTTCTTCTTTGATTTACAATACACTAAGAAGAAACAACGTATGTCCTGAAACTAACACTGCTTTTAATGAAAGAGATAATCAACAATTTTGTCCATCATGTAAGGACTTAGAAAATTATTCAGGAAAAGATTATTATCTATTTCTAGCCAATTTAAAAAAAGGATCGAATAAATAAATTATAGCAACATTACTTGAAGATTCTTTAAATAAATCTTCCCCAAAACTTTTCTGGTATATTTGGGAATTTAAACAAAAATCACTACTTGTGTGAAAAGACAACTAAACTGATAATTTAGCTGATTCCTGCATGATTGTGTTAGGATTTATAAGCCTTATACCCCTGTAAAAGCTAGTTCTCATGATGGGCCTCTCAAAGCAATGGCATGCTCTAGTTCATTTTTATTGCTTCTCCTGCCTGGAGAAAAAGCATGATCCCTTGACAGGGATGCAGCAAAGGGATGCAGCAAAGACCATTACAGTAGAGACAGATATTAGCCTTACATTCTATACTACTAGAATAAAATTTCAAAAGATAAAAAACTCCAAACAAACAACTTTGATATGTCTTCAGAGATCAGAAACTTTCATCAGTGACACTCAGTTTTACCTTGAAGATAACACATACTTTGCTTGAGCCATTCTCAAAGAATGATGTACCTAATCTTAAACCATGAATTGATCATTAACACTTGGGTTTGTTACAGAATGTCAGCAGTGGAACTTGGTGTTCTCTGTATGTTTAGTAGTCTCTTTTTGGGGGATATGGATTAATACTGAAGTTTTTTGGTTCTGAAGCCAGAGACCTGTGAACCTTCCAAGGGCTTTTAGCCAAGAAGGCTATTTACTGAAGAAATTACGTCTGCTACTGCTTTAGCATCTGAAAAATATCTCTTGTTCTGTAATTGCTCAGTGCCTGGCAGTGGAAAGTTAGTGTATAAAGCATGACAAGTATTTCTAAGTGCCCAGATTGGTGCTGGGTTAGAGGCACTCAGGTGTACACTGCTTTTGTCATTAGATGTCTCCTGACATTCCAGTGTATTTTGGTAGTGATCCTTTATTCAGAAATGCAACTGGAAAAATCATCAATGCTACCTGGTCAATTTTCAGTTCTCCAACTTTTCAATTAGTAGTGTAGAACAAAATTCTATAAACAAGAGCAGCCAACAAGGGATGTACAGACAGAAATCTTACTGTCTTTAAAGTATGTATTTAAAAAAATGAAACAAAGGTGCTGAGAAAGATGTATTGGCATCCACTGATTTTCACAAATGGCGATCTACAATTTCCAATGCATACTTTCCTTCCTTGTGACCTGCTGTATTAAAGTATTAGGTCTTTGATAAGCATCAGATTTTTTGCTTGTTTAGCTTCTGAAATCATATAGTCTATTGGTCAAAGTAGTCTATGGAATTTTTTATAGCCTTGTGGAAGCTTAATATAGTCTGAGTTGACCTTTTAGCATGATCTTTTTAATATGTCAGGTATTTATAAAACAGGAAAACCAGCATTTTATCAGTGTTCAGTTGCTGACCTTCGTTGTAGTTGAAAGAAAAGCATTTCTACAAGTATTGTTAAGATGATACACTAGAACAGATGAAATTTTCTTCTGACCTGATCTGTTATGATATGTCTATAGGCAAAATGCGTTCCAAGTAATTGCTGTGGATGGGGTTTGCAGTGGAATAATTCAGTGTCTCTCTGCTGAAGACTGTATTGACTGGCTACAAGCAATAGCAAGTAACATTTCGAACCTCACAAAGCACAATGTAAGTATGGATCCAAGTAAGCCAGGAGGTTTCCAATCATATTTGATTATTACTGTCATAAAAGCCTAATGGGTTCACACACAGAATTATCTGTGTATAAACAATGCTTGAGGCTGTCTGAGAGAAGTCAACTCAAGTTTGTCATCAAATCAGACTTTGTGAGAAATCATTGAATGGGAAAATATTCTTCCCTACAGTCACATAGTTCACTTCATCGCCATCAGAGTTATTTTCTTCTTAGCAGTACCAACTAGGATTAGAAACAAAGACCAGGCACACAGGAGAAAGCCAAGTATGATGGGTGAACAGATATAAAGGAAAAAAATTCTGTACTTTTTTTCATATGTTGAGAAATCAAATCTATGGAAAGACTGGTATAACAGATCTGAATTAGATTTTAGGTCTGTTTAGGTATCATTTAACATGAAGAGAATGGCAGGGCTCTTCTGTGATATAGATACAGATGTTCATTATCAGCAACAATTAAATGCATTTAAGCTTCATGCACTGTGCTTTATGATCTGACCTTGTAGAATAGATATCTCTTTTTATTGAAGAAGGAATAAGAATTATGAAAAAGTTTTGCCAAACTACTAGTAAGACTGATTGAAAGGTCTTCTGGACCTTCCTGGGATGTATTTTGCATTTGATAGTGAACATGTAGTTTTCCCTGTAGAAGTCTATATGATACCTTTAGTGATTTTCCTTAAAAAATACAGAACACATGGTTAACTCCATTATTTTGAATTGAGTTATAACAAGGAAGCCCTTGAGGATTTAATTTATATTCTCTCAGATTTTCCTAAATCTGTTTTAGCTTCCCAAATCTGTCTCTGAATTTGCTTTTGTTTCAAATACAGGGAACATATTGAAGGAAGTTGTATTTCTTGGAGATTTATAATCAAGATGCATAACTATGTTCCATCTGGCAGCAATATGTAAAAGTCATTGCATTATGAAAACGTGACAGACATGAATTCATCCACCATCTGCAAGCTTCCATTCAGTACCAGTGAACTTTGTGGCTATTTATTCATCCTTAAAATGCTATTGCTCTGTAGAGCCTTTCTTGCCTTACTAGTTATCCTGAAAATTGAGGTGGCTGGGTTTTCTTCTCTTACCATTTTTGGTTCAGTCGAGTCTATTAGTAGTTCTTACTACCTAAATCAGTACATTTTTATATTGCTTATAACAATAGACAGAGGAACCTAAATTTTACCTGATAACACTTTGATAAGACTGTAATTATGGTTGCTTTCAATATTTATGTTTGCAAACTTGAATTTTGGCATTGCAATGTTATTACATGGTTTGTTTTCCGAGTACCACTTATAATTCCACACTAGTTTCCATAAAATACAGAAAGAATTTATCTAATGCTTTATAAGAGGGAAATAGTAAACTATGCAACTATTATACCAATCTTTGTACTTACTATATCCCGAAGATATCCTGTAAAGTAACTGTGAGTGTTAGAGCTAATGATAATTATCCATGAATCTATTTTTAAAACTGTCCTACTTGTTCATAGCCCTTATGAATTTATAGTAACCAATGAGACTCTCTTTTCTATAACATACTTTTCTTTTAAATTGTCAGTTGCCTCAAAAAAAAAAGTTATTTGACAGAGTAAGTGATAAGTGAATGTAAGAAACATTATGAACACAGAGGAGGAAAAAATGAAACTGTTGCTCAGAACAACGATTAGATGAGATTAGAGGTCCTTATATTTTCTTTCTTTACAAATTATTACCTCAGTATGACACACACGCACTTGATATTAGCATTTACTCACATTCTCCCTTACTGTGGCATCTGGTGCCAAAGAAACAAAGAGGGTATAGTATTTTTTTTGAATTTTTGGATAAGTTGACTAAGTTTTAGTTTCGGTTACCTTCTTATTTCTATTCAGGGATTACAGAAAATAATTTGTTACATTAAAAATACCATGTAGCTCATAGATGTGTTAACTAACATTCTCTTTCTCCCATCTACCTTTTGAAAAAGAAGGAAGCAGAAAGAAAGCAGGAAAAAGCCTGTAAAAACTACATTTCTGAAAGCATTTCCTTTACTAGCATGTCAAGTCTGGGCTCCGTAATTTTGGTGGGATTTCACTTGCTTACTTTACATGTCTTAAAGCAGAACATCTGGAGTGATTCTTATGATTTACTTTTGACATCTATTTTATAGTGAAATTAATTCCCTCAGGACATGACTGTCTTTCTTTTGAGTGGTAAGGGACCCTAGGGTAGTGAGTTCATACTTGATACCCAGGGAGATATGTATATTCTGTCACTGGTTTCTTTGAGGGGCCAAAGCGAGTTTCTCTGAATAAATCTGATAAAGAAATGCCTGGATATTTTTGGAAGAAAAAAAAACCCATCATACTATTATTAATCAGAAAATCTGAATTATTTTACTTTTTCACACACAAGATTGCTGAAACTCTGAAAGTTTTGTGAATTACGTAGCCTATGCTCCCATATGTATCTTACAGCTGTGAAATGTGGGTCCCTAGCTCCACAATACCCTTTCTGAGCCTAAAGTCCAATGAAATTTTTGTGAGGATAATGTCAAAAACCCTTCTCTCATGATCTAATAAGTCCACATCTGACACCAAGGTGATGCAACCCAGTTGCAGTGTCATCAGCATAGCCAGTATCTACCAGAGAGAAAGAAGATAACAAAAATGCTGGAGTAGATGCAAAATTAAAATGCCTTGACATTATCATCTTTGAAAGGCAGTGTTGCTAAATGAATGGAGGTTGGAAGATGGTGTCTGCAAGCAAACCTCTTTTGTACTGCAGTGGTTAGTATGACATGTACATTACAGTGTAATGAAACTCGTATCATTATACAAAAAAATATTACAATTTCAATGCAAAGATATAGCAAATTATATTCTGGATATTCAGAATAGATCAAAAAATCAATATGTTGACCGATAGAGTTAATTTCAGATTTTCATCAAAAGACAGATTTCAGTTATGAAGTCTTTCTATGTATTCAGGAGATTAGCACATTAGCATCCCCCAGTGTTTTAAAAATACTGAGAGTGATACTGCTAATTTTAATTTCTTTAGCTGCCAAGAAACACTCTCTCATATGAGAAGGAATACATCCATTTAAAATTACAAACCATTGTATATTGGTATGCAACAAAAATGCATACTATATACATGCACTGTTGGAAGTGACTTAATACTGCACTGTAATTGATGATGTGATGAATCTGTAGAGACCATTCATTTCCAAAGATGGGTGCTTCTCCAGCTCAAGTTACTTGAGTTGCATCTGTGTTAAAAACTTACCAATTTTATCAATAGCCTAAAACCACAGAAGAGTTATATTAAACCCCTAATTTTCAGGTAGGCAATCCTGATACTGGAGTTGATGTGCTGAAATCTGAATACGTTAAATTGAACCTAGTCTTGGGAACTCTAATTCCTCTATAAACTGATGAGGCTCTTCATCTTTTTGCTGCAGACTAAAGACTGCAGACTGAAAAGAGAATAAGCTGCTCCCTCTACCTTTTCTTGCTAGTGCTCCAAGCAGAAATTTTCAGTCAGCTGTTCAATTCAGCTATGAACCATTTGCCTTTTCGTGAACTTTTAAACTCTAATAGTTTCTGTGGTAATTGATACTGAGTTCTATTTTTTGTCATCTATTTTGTTAAAGAGTTGTAGGATGGCAGTATCTAAAAGGTCATGTAGCTTTTAAAGAAATTACACTCTTGAAGAGTCTAAGAAAATACTCCAAAATCATGTGCTCTATAAAGAACCACCAGCTGCCAATACATCCATAATTTATGTGCTGCAATTTTTAAAGGCACTTAAAGGCAAAGTTTTTAGTACAGTAGAAGTCAGAAATCTTAGGTCTTTTTAACAAAAGAATAATCATAGGAAACAAACAAAACAAAACAGAAAGCCAAAAAAGGAAAAACAAAAAAACAAACAAAAAAACCCCAAACAAACAAAAAAACCTCACACACTTTTGAGCTAGCATATTCTAGGATATAGCTTTACAGAATCTTTGAGGATTTATCCTCCCAACTCAATATTTGTCACTCTTGCCCATTCCTTTGTCCATGGCAGGTTTTTCTATAGTGAGGGCAATGATACTTCTTTTCTCTTTCCTCTTCCATCATTTCTGTGGAAGACACTACAACAGTTTTACATTTATGCTTCCTACCTTGAAGGTAGCACTTGACAGCAGAGAAATAACATGAACTTCATCAAACAGGAATGACAGGCAGCTGAGGTAAAGTTGCTAAGCTGGAGGTGGAAAAAAGTTTTAGGATTATCTAAAGAATGCTCATAAGACCTAGCAAGATATAGTTCACAGTAACTTCACTTTATCCCATCATGGTACATTTTTCTGGGTAAAATGACATGCATCTGTGAAATTAATGAGGCATTGATGGTAAAAGCATAGCAATAGCATGAAAGCAGTTAGATTAAGAGGTCTTCAACAGAATATTGTCATAGTAGGTGTTTTTCAGAACATAAGATGAAAGATCCTGCTACTAAGAGGACAAATATATTTGTCTTTATTTTCACTAGAGAAAAGAAAACAATAATACCTACTCTTTACAGTGCTGAAGTTTGAGTACAGGAATTAAGTTACTAGGTAGAAGGAGAGACAAAGAGTTCAAAACAGGAGAAAAACCAATTAGAGTAACATGATTTGTTCCACTTGTAGAAAGAATAAAATATCACAGGACTACATTCAGTGCTAGTAAAGTTATTGAAATAAATAGTAGTACGTGTCTCATTTTTCTGGTGCGTGCTACCACCAGTAAGAACATACTGTGGAATATTGGATTACATGAATGTCACTCCCATGAAGTGAATAGATTTCACATTTTAATTTCATAGTCAAACGCAATGGCAAAACATCAGAATGCTTATGTTAGTAATTTTGGAGTTTTCAGGGATTATATATATACTCTTAGAAGCCCAAAGATCTGTATATTACACTGATATTTAACCTTTGCTGGT